AACCCGCGACCCTCAGATTGCGAGTCGAGTGCCTTAACCACCTGGCCATGCCGAGCCCCCTGCGAAGTAGTTACATGGACAGACAACAGACAGTACTATTATATTTATATTAGATATAAATTATTTGATTTTTTTCAGAATTGATTTTACTATCTGCTTTTGAAATGCAAAAATCCTCATCATAATCTACGTGAATAACATTATCACGTTTTATTTGTTTTCGGTCATTTTTAAAGAGATCACAGAGCACGTGAAAGCTTCTCAGGATCCTCCTTTCCGGCCTCTCCTAGAGAATAATGACTATAATGAAGCAGTGGTCTGTATGATGAAACGATGCTGGGCTGAGGAACCATCACAACGTCCAGATTTTCACTCTCTAAAATTGATTATTAGGAGATTAAATAAGTAGGTTTAAATTTTAATACAAAAAAAATGTACAACCAATTTAGGTTTTTTTATTCACAAAAGTCTCCCCTCCCCTAGTGGCTCAGAGGGCTTTTCACGCTAAAAATCGGGTTTCGATACCCGCGGTGGGCAGAGCACGGGTATGACATTGTGTGTTTTTTAAATAGCCCCCTAGTGGCACAGTGGTATGTCTGTGGACTTACAACGTTAGAAACCGGGTTTCGATTCCCGTGATGGGCAGAGCACAGAAAACTCATTATGTAGCTTTTTAAATAGCCCCTTAGTGGTACAGCGGTATGTCTGTGGACTTACAACGCTAGAAACCGGGTTTCGATACCCGTGGTAGGCAGAGCACAGATAGCCCATTGTGCAGCTTTGTGCGTAATTACAAACAAACAAATTGTTAGATGACATAGTTTCATGATTGCTATAATAAATGTGCCCAGAACAGCTTCATTGATTATCTTATAATTTTGTCCAATTTCTGTATGTAGTAGTTTCGTATCTGTCTTAAAAGATAGAATTTATTTTCAAAACACAACAGGTTTCTGAAGCTTTTTACTTCAAAAGACAAAGAGAAAATCCTGATGGCAAGCTAGTGATGAGTTGGGCCCGATTTTTAAGATAGGATATTATTTACTGTTCCGCCAAGTGCTTACTGAATAACAGTTGTTATTTGTTATAAAGCACAAAACTACTCGAAGGGCTATCTGTGTTCTGCCCACCACGGGTATCGAAACCCCGTTCTTAGCGTTTTAAGTCAGCGGACATGCTGCTGTGCCACTGAGGAGCTCATTAACAGTATTGGTTAGAATGTTTAAAATATAAATTTTTTATTGTATTTAATTTTTTATTATATAGACTATTTTAAATTTTAGTTTAATATATGGACTTAGGACTAAAATAAATCTCATAAGCTGGCAGAACCTCGTGCAGTATTATTAGGATTATGACCGAAAGTACCTCTAACAATGAGACTACCCAACTGACGAAACCATGCGTTCTAACCTTTATAAGTAAGAACATAAGAAGTATACATAATTACCTATACTCATTACCGAGTTGCTTTTTTTAATTATTTTGTAATTTGGAAATTTGCTTTGATCACAAGTTAATATTAATCACAAGTTAATATCAAGTAAGGATTATCTCCCCTTTAGTCGGCTTACCTATGATCTTCGAAAGAAGGATGCCTGTACACAAAGGAAAAATAAATAAAAGTGTATAGCTCAGTGATATTTATATGACTTCGTTCTACACAGAGCTTTACTTAAATCAATGAGATGAAAATTCATTGATATTTGCATGTGTCCGCACTTTTTAGGTATTTATAATACTTAATATCCTGTCCCTCTGTGAATGCTCATGTTACGATACTCAGTATGCTGTCCCTCTGTGAATGCTCATGTTACGATACTCAGTATGCTGTCCCTCTGTGAATGCTTGAGTTACGATACTCAGTATGCTGTCCCTCTGTGAATGCTTGAGTTACGATACTTAGTATGCTGTCCCTCTGTGAATGCTTTAGTTACGGTACTCAGTATATATGTTGTTCCTCGTGAAATCAAGTGTTTGTTTCCTATATATCACAAAGCTTATTTAATTATGCTAGCTTATTAAAAACTTTTTACTTCAAAAGACAAAGAGAAAATCCTGATGGCAAGCTAGTGATGAGTTGGGCCCGATTTTTGAGATAGGATATTATTTACTGTTCCGCCAAGTGCTTACTGAATAACAGTTGTTATTTGTTATAAAGCACAAAACTACTCGAAGGGCTATCTCTGTTCTGCCCACCACGGGTATCGAAACCCCGTTTCTAGCGTTTTAAGTCAGCGGACATGCTGCTGTGCCACTGAGGAGCTCATTAATAGTATTGGTTAGAATGTTTAAAATATAAATTTTTTATTGTATTTAATTTTTTATTATATAGACTATTTTAAATTTTAGTTTAATATGTGAACTTAGGACTAAAATAAATCTCATAAGCTGGCAGAACCTCGTGCAATATTATTGGGATTATGG